GTAGGAATGCTCAACGCCACTTCATTCATAACTCTGTCGAAGTCGAAGATCCAGCGAAAGTCTGGAAATTTCTAAGATCTCTGGGCATAGGAAAACAACGACAAATATCCTCTTCTAGTAGTTTAGATATTAATTTACTCAATAAACATTTTTCCTCTTCATATGACTGCGATACATCAAGCAAGTCTGATACTTTAAATTATCTTTCATCTCTTCCGTGCCCGGATCACTCATGTTTTTCTCTTCGTCAATTTTCTGACTGTGATGTTAAGAAGAGCATTATGTCAATAACTTCTGGTGCTGTGGGTGGCGACTCTGTTAGTAGGAAAATGATTATTCCCATCCTAGATGAAATTCTTCCTATTATCTCTCATATATTTAACCAATCCATTAATACGAGTATCTTTCCTTCTGCTTGGAAAGATGCTTATGTTACTCCGTTACCTAAAAAATCCAAACCACAATCCTTTTCAGACTATAGACCGATTTCCATACTACCATTCCTCTCTAAAGTTCTGGAACGCCTCATTCACAACCAACTATCCACTTTCCTCTTCAAAAATCATCTCCTAAATCCTTATCAATCAGGTTTCCGTGCTGGTCATAGTGCCACCACTGCACTAGTAAATGTTACAGATGATATCAGGTCAGGAATGGAACATGGAAAAGTATCGGTTCTCTGTCTACTAGACTTCAGTAACGCATTTAATACCGTTGACTTTGATATTCTGCTTGGCTTATTACGCTCTATTAACATATCTCCAGCAGTGGTTGATTGGTTTCATAGTTACCTGTCTGGACGCCGTCAGCGAATACGCATTGAGGATTCCCTTTCCACTTGGTGCAACATATCTGCCGGCGTGCCGCAGGGTGGCGTTCTCTCTCCATTACTTTTCGCTATATTTATTAGCTCAATTTCACGACAACTAGTTTCATCCTATCACCTTTATGCAGATGATCTACAAATTTATTCCCAAGCTACTCCTGACCAACTAACTTTTGCCATCAATACTGTAAACCGTGACCTTGAGTTTGTCTTTGATTGGAGCAAGTGTTACGGAATAAAAGTTAATCCTTCAAAAACTCAAGTCATGGTAGCTGGCAGCCCCGTAATGACTAATAAAATTGACTGGTCATGTTTACCTGCGATTTCATTTGGTGGAATTACTTTGACCCCCAGTGACTGTGTTAAAAATTTAGGCATAGCTATAGATAAAAACTTAACATGGCGGTCACAAATTGAGGAAGTTAGTCGTAAAACCTTTGCTGCTGCTGGTTCTTTGAGGCGGTTGCGTAACTTTTTACCAATAGCAACTAAAACTGCGCTTGCACAATCTCTTCTTCTACCAATCCTGGACTATGCCGATGTCAGCTATCTAGATCTAACTGAGGAGCAACTAAATAAACTTGAGCGGCTTCAAAATTTTAGTATAAGATTCATATTTGGATTACGCAAATATGATCATGTATCTGATTTTCGCACTAAGCTCAAGTGGTTGCCGATTCGTCTTCGTCGGAATGCCCATATTGTTTCCTTGCTTTACAGTATACTGTTTAATCCTTTCTCTCCAACGTATCTCAGGGAACGTTTTAATTACCTTCACGATACGCACTCCCGTGTCTTGCGATCGTCAGAGAACCTAAAACTGCAGACGCCAATCCATTCAACAAAGTTTCTCGACAAGTCTTTTGCAGTTCAGGGTGTCCGCCTTTGGAATAAATTACCAGATGATATAAAGCGTGCACCATCATTGAATGTCTTTAAAAATAAGGTAAAAGACCATTACCTATCTGTCACTTACTGAATATTAAATTAGGCTATTGTATATTTATTATTATACAATTATATATTTATATATTTATATATGTATGTGTGTATATATTAGTATGGAAAATTGTTATTTCAACTGTGTAGGACACCATTTACTACCCATCTTTTTTATGTAACTGTCCAGTCTAACTTTTGGTTGCCTGGAAGATATTGCTTTTTAGCGATAAGGCCGCCAATTGTACTGTTTATTGTTATTAATTTGTTATATTGATTTTATTTTCAAGTACAATAAAGTGTTCATTCATTCATTCATTCATTCATTCATTCAATGTCAATCAGTCTAGGGATGTCAAATGTATCGTAAATATTACATATTTCCAAAAAAATATCATTCATTGATATATCGATATTTTCTGCTCAATAATCAATTATCTATAAAAATTTACAAAATATTCGAAATTTTAAAGCAAATACATACCTGGCTGTTTTGACATCAGTTTAAATATTTAAAATAGGTACATAAAACCAAGAAAACAACATCGATAACACAACAAATATTAGATTATTCAAACAAACCAGTATTTGTCTGATATTGACATCCAGGAGCACTCTCAGTGATACCAACCAAACCAACAAGCAGTGTCATTGTCATAGACAAACAAAAAAGACAAGCAGGTTACAGACTGTAATTTTTGTTTGTTTGAAGCGAAAAAACTAAACTCTTTCAAACTTACCTACCCTTTTTCAAAATTTATGAAATAAATGATGTGACGCAAAAGCAGAGAGCAGAACTTTAAAAAATATATCGATGTTTTTGTGAACTTGATTTCTGAAAATAAATATCAAAAGTTGATATATCTCGGTAAAAATATAATTTATATCGATCTTGTTCAGAAAAAATATCGATAGGTTTTGCCCAATCCTAAGTCAGTCGGTTTTAAAACATCATTAGCGTTTATTGTTGTCTAATATTAAAATGACTTTGGATTGAATTAATTTTAATCGTAAACATTTCGTTGTGTTGAAAATGTGTGGCTTTGGTAACAAATCCCTCCAATATTATTCAGTTTAAAATAAGGTAAGTGCTACTGTTCCGCTAGTAGTAACACAATCTTCGATGAACAATAACAGAACGCTAACGTTTTCCTATTTTTAGTTGCGTTGGCTTGGTGTTTGCTTTATATATTGTTATTAAATTAATAATACATATTTCACTAATCAATTAAATCCAGTAATGAGCTTATGGTTGTTCCAATAACTGTCTGATCTTCTACATTTCTTTGCCTAAATTTCCATTTTAAAAACCTACACAATATTTCTAGACCTTCCAAACTTAAATTTTATGAATTAACTTGTTGTTTTCCCGTGACTTCGCGAGCGTATATTATAGTCTATATCAATCCTGTATAATTTTAAACTCTATCCAGTAGTTTAAAGAGCCTATTTGATGAAACAAACAAACTCAAAGACAAAATAATCTTTTTCAAATAGACTTCTTTAAGGTCCTTTTGAATCGTCCAATATTTTTTATCCCTACTATTCAGGACGTCTTTTGGCTGATAAGAAGAACAAGCAAGAAACTCACCAGCTCTAATAGAAGTAATGACATTCATAAAAACCATGTCATTACCAGATCAATACATTATAAATAAAGAGGTCTTATAATGATAACATAATCATTTAATAATAATGAAAACAAGATAATTTTTGATATATAAAGAGTTTAGAATTAATCACCTATCTAGTTGCTGGATCATCTTAAGTCCAAGCATTCTTATCTGTTATATAATCGGATACCTTATAATAAACTTTTTTAATAGGTATTTTTTTAATAGTAGATTTAAGCAGCCACAAGAATCACTTTAAAACTGATTCTTATGTTTTTTTTCATATATAAAAAACTTTAAAAGTATCAATGGAATGTTGTAAACTGTTCCAGATATCCTTATAAAATATTATTACACTTCAAAAAACTTACTTTTGTGAATCTCAAATTTCTTTTGCCCAAGAACAAATAAATCATAAATTGGGCAATTGTTTTATGTATATTCATTAATTGTGTGTGTAGTGTGTTTTATTAAAAAAACACATGCTCAATGTCCACCAGCCTAAGGTACCCCGAGATGGCACTCAAACCCACAATCTTTTGCTATCTGGATGGATGCTCATTTATAATATAAAATTAATCCCTATTTCCCTTAAACACGCCATCACAAGTGAACGGCTGCAGCGATTTCACTAATTCCTTTTTGTTGTGTTTATTGTTGTCAGGAGAAGGTTCTTATGAAAGAAAAAATAACAAAATTGTGTGGAAAATTAAAAAATTCAAGAATATTTAACCATCATAAAAATTATATATAATTTAATCTTAAGTGCTTTGGATGATATAAAGTTTTTAAATGTAACCTTATGACATTTGACATTGAATTGACAGAATGAGTGCAAATATCGTCAAATAGGATGTAAAAAAACTATTTGAATTCAATATTCATAATAAAGACAGGAGAACATCTGTCAGGTCAGCTATTTAAGAATGAATTTGGTAAAATATTATAAATGAGTAAAGTTTAGGTAATTAATTAATACAACTTGTGGCGCTTTACAAATTTATAGCATTTTCTCAAAAACTCCAATCATAAAAAATTTGAAGCCCTTTTTTGAGAAAAAGCATAGGCACTACCTCTAACTTTATCTCACCTCCATAGAGGTAGGTAGGGATGGAAACTTAGAAAATTATTAAACTTTTATTCACTTTTGCTGAAATAGGACTTTATTCATTTTTTAATCTGTAAAATAATATGGTTTGTTGCGTCAAATATGACAGACTTCCATACAAAGTTTCAACATCATTTTCTTCCCTTGGGCGGTGGTAAAAAATACGTATTTAATATTTTATCTCTATAATTATATTTAGTTTATCAGTATTTTTTACTAATAGACTATTTATACATTATAGTAAAAGTTTAAAAACCGCGCCATAAATATCACAGGATCTTATCAAAACAATTTACATAGCATAGAAACAAGGGCGTCGTCAAGCCCCCCTCACTCCCCCTAGAGACTAAAAAAGTTGCCTTATTAAAGCAACCAAGATCCTAAGTCCTCACTTGCTTGATCGCTCATTTGCTGTGGATCAAAGACTTGTACTACAAGTAAAAAGCATAGAAACCAAAGTAAATGGCAACATCTTCTGTTTCAGGTACAACAATCTCCAATCATGTACGCAAGTATGTTAGATTTCGTTTGCGACTACTGTAGTCGTACCTTCACGAGGAAATATAACCTACAAAATCATATAGAGAACTGTCATCTCAATTCGTCATGTTACTGCGAGATATGCGACCAAACTATCGGCAGTCCAGCTGGGTTACAACTCCATCTGTCGAGAGGCCACAACAGATATGGTCAACCGTTCCCAGAATGCGATCTGTGCGGTCGAATATTCACTAGGAAACAAAATATTAATTCTCACATGATAACAGTGCATTTACAAGGCGTTGGACCGGAAATCAAATGTAAAATGTGCGAAAAAACCTTTACCACTGAAAGAAATTTAAAAAGACACACTAACCAGCTCCATAATCCTGATATGGAATACCTAACATGTGATACTTGTAAAAAATCGTTTAAAGGAAGACATTACTTAGTTACTCATATACAGGCAATGCATAATGTATCCGATAAAGGTACAATAAAATGTCATCTGTGCAATAAAGTGTATACAAATAATAGAAATTTAAAACGTCACGTCGAAATGTTTCATGGAGAAAGAGGAGAGTTCAGATGTGAAATTTGTCCAAAAGTGTATACGTCAAATCAAAGCTTACGAAGGCACATCAGGACCAGACATTATTCTGATGATGGGGAAGTTTACAATTGTGAACACTGCGGCAAGGGTATTATCGGTAGAGAGAATCTAGAGGAGCATGTAGTATCGTTTCATAAAAACGACAATTCACTCAGTGATGCAGATTCTACAAATAGTCTACAATGCGAGTCTTGTTCAAAGACATTTGATGATGAAACTTCTTTGAGAAAGCATGTCAAGATGGAGCATTCGTTTAAAACATTTTATAATTATTGCAGAAAATCCCTTCTGAAACAGGACAGTTCGAAAGAGGATAACAAAGTGTTTTACAAATGTGAATTTTGTAATGACAGTTTTTGTACTGTATACGAATTAAAAGACCATATGAAAGTAATCCACGACAAGGAATACTCTTTATCTACGTGCAACGTCTGCTTCAATAAGTTTTACAGTCGAGATATCATGAACCAACATAAGAAAGTTTGTTTGCCCCCGGCGAACGTTAATTCTTGCAGTCACTGCGACAAATTATTTACAGACATCTCCAGTTTGGAATTCCACACGCGTATATTTCATCCGCAATCTCAAATTGCTGATTCTAACGTAACATCTACGTATTTGGACGATTGTTCTGATAACTATAAATGTCCACATTGCGACAGAGTATATTACAGCGATAGGTCACTAAAACATCACACTAAGCTCAAACATACAACAGAAGAGGCTGTCGAATGTGAATATTGTGGGAAAATATGTAGCAACAAATACTATTTAGCTTCCCACATCAAAATAGTCCATAATAACGACTCTTGGTCCAAATGTGATTACTGCGATAAACTATTTAAATCTAAAAGAAATATCCGAAGACACATTGAGTATACACATTTGGGTATGCAAAGGTACAAATGCATTGAATGCGAGACTCTATTCAAGGAAAAGAGAAGCTTAAGGAAACACGTAAGGACGAAACATCCAAATTCTGCAATGTTCCCTCAATGCCATATATGTCATAAGCGCTTTGAATCAGCAAAATCTTGTAAAATTCATTTGAAATTAGTACACTCTTTCAACATGAATACTTATCCGTGCGATCTTTGCTCTGTCTCCTTCAGTTCTAACGTAGCTCTTACGATTCATTTGCAAACAAAGCATTTGGCTGAGGACGAAATTTACAAATGCGAAGAATGCAACTTAGTTTTTAAAGGCCAAGATAAATTTGAGCAGCACAATGAACATTGCCACGTAAATTTAGTGTCTAATATAAAGCAGAAAGTTTTACCTCGGTGTATTATATGTATAAAAGATTTTAGTACTCGTAAAACTTTGAAGAGGCATATAAAGAAATTTCATGAAGATTTTGACGTTGAAGAATTAGCCACGTTCGGTTCGAAGAGGCGGAACTTCAATGTGGATTGCGAAGAATGTATTAAGAGTTTTACCGACGATCTGCATTTCAACATTTATCAGAAACTGAGGAATCTCAAAGACTCTGTGATATTTAAGTGTCAATCTTGCTGTGCGTCATATAATTCTTTGGAGTACTCCGTTCAAAGGTATAAGCTTTCAAACTACGATTTTAAAGGGAAAATTATCTTGAGTGATCTTTGTACGGCTGAAATGAGTGATGCTGAGTCTACAGGTTTGAGTGCGCTTCAGGAGATGATGGAGCCAGAGAGTACTACAAATGATAATGAATGATCTAATCAAAATTCTGTCTAATCAAATAAAATAAATTTATTCAGTGTAGGCTGTTACAAAGCGCTTGTGAATGTCGAAACTCTATGCCATCGGTTCGTAAGTTTAATGCAGGAGACTCTGTACCGAAAAGAACCGACAAGAAACTCGGCAAGGGCTGCTTTTTTCTTCCTGTTTCATTTCATATAAGATATGTACTCTTCAATCGATTCATATCAAATAAATGTAACGTAAAATGATAAACTGTATGATAGTGCACTCTACCACTTTACATTGTGAAAAATAAGCCATATTTAACACCAAGGAGTTTTGTCGTTTTAATATTTCATTAACAGTCCCCCAACAATCTCCTTTACTGAGTAATATTATTAAAAATTAAAAAAAAAATAGACTTGACTTCAAATTGAAAAAAGGTGTTAGCGTTATATTTTATTTAGTAACCTACATAAGACCTCCCCGTCCGTCGCTTTTGAGATATTATTTATCCTTTTTTTTTGAAGTTTGGAGTCGGTTTTATTTTTTGAAAAACTTTTTTATTTCATGTTTTTCAGTAATATTGATATTTTTATACAATAGGTGACACTAAAAATATTTATATACAATACCTATATATTTTTTCCAGTAATCTATAATTAATCATATTATAAAGAGCTAAGATTTGATTGCTTGTTTTTTGTTTTGGGGCTCTGATACTATTGAATCGATTTTTAAAAGTATAGGGGAAGCTTCATAATTCGCTAATACGAAAACAGTTGGTTTTATAAAAATTGGTTCACAATTCAAGAATAAATCGATGAACATAGTTACTTTATATACCTCCTTTTCGATTTGCCGTAGTCTGGTAAAAATATACATAGTCTTTGAACATAGAATATCCTTTCAGATTTTAATGAGTTTTTTGTTTTTTGGGTGAAATGGGCCACGTTTTACCATATCAACTTTTTATTAAGATTATATGTGATGACAAACGTATTTTGTTAAATATAAATGAAAACTACTGATTCGATTTCGATAAAATTTAAATGGGCCCACATAGGCAAAAAAAAATTTTTTTTTATATCTGTCTTTAATACATATATAAAAAACACATAGTCGTCTAACATATAACCTCCTTCTTTTGGAGTCTGTTAAAAATTAATACTAGATGTGAATGATTTGATATAGAAAGTTCTGTGAACCTCTGTTGAATTTTTGATCCTGTAGTAGTTGATTTTTTTTTATTTCTATCAGTGATATATTTGTATTATCTTAAAATTTATCATAATCCCTTTCCAAGGTATAGCGTACGTCCTATAGATTTATGGAATTATGTAACGTTTGAAGTCACTATTGCTTTTGTGCGGGTGATTATTTGAATGACCAAGAAAATCAATAAAACCTGAGCCAAACTCGTCTTCTTTTTCTTTTTAATTATTGGTGTTGCCCTTATGGATTTCGCCGAATGTTTCGCTCAGTTTATTTCATATCATAATGAGGAAGTTTAAAAAAAAAACGAAGGCACTAAAAAGCACCTCCACTAGATGGTGACTTTAGCAAAAGTTGATTTTTGCAGGAATCGAATGGACCAAAGACAGTCATTTCCGTTCCTTATAACTAACTTATTAAAAAACTCAAATTTGAAAAATTGGGAACTTTGTAAATATTTTAACTTGCAGGGTCTTCTTTTCGTTTCTTTGTGTACAGATTATCTAAAAAATAAAATATTTCCAAAAAATGTGCAGGCAATGCTAGAAATGTTTAATACTTTTGTTCCTCTGTAATGGTTATACCAAATTTGATTCTTCTGTTACTATTATATTTAATATTTATATAACATAATTTTTAGGGGTTTTTTCGTTTAAGGACTAGGGATTTTTAATAGGCTTATGATGAGTATATTTTAAATTTGTATATGCTAAAAAAAAACAGTAAAGTATTATTTTTATAATATAGCATTTTAATTAATTAAAATTTAGCACTTTTTCTTCTGCCAGTACTAACAGTACTAAGTGGCAGTTTTAGCTGAGCTATTTTTTTACTGCCAGATGTAACAATTGTAGCACCTATTACTTTAAATTTAGCCATAAAAGTTTTCAAACTGAATTTAACATTTTTACTAATTTCATCTAAATCATATTTTAAGTTATTAATCAAAAGTAAAAAGACTAAAGCATGACAAAACGCTTTGTCTTTATATTGTAATGGTCGGTTCCTTTTTCCATTCACATTTGTTGTAAAATTCTGTAATACAATCTTGTTAAGAGTCGGTGATGCAGCACATATGACAAAGTTCTTTTTCACGATTTCCTTTGTGAGAATTGAAAACAGTTTCAGTAAAACGCTTGCATATAATGCTAGTACTGTTAACTCTTCTGGCATGTTTTTCTTTGTTTCTACTATGTCTTTAATCCAAGGTAACAATTCAGACTTGTAGTTCTCCTTTTCCATTTCCGAGTATATTTCATCGTACTGTTCTTTACTCAATATTTTATGTAAATCGTAAACGTCTTCAGGTTTATCGGCATCTCTGTTTATTGGAGGTATATAGAAATCATCAGAATCTGTTTTGATATATGACGATAAGTCAAATTGATCTTCTGTTATGTTGACTGTGACATTATGCATTTGTTCTGTTACGGTTTGAACATTCACTTTGAGTTTTTCACGATGCTCGACAATTTTTTTATGCTTCTTCGAACCAAATTTTCTACTTAATTCCAGATAACTCGTATCCAATTCAGTATTTGTTTTATTATTGTCGGTTTTTAACATTGGCTTGAGTTCTGCAATGCCCGTTTCTATTAACCGCACTTTCCCGGTTATTTTGTTTCGCGCTAGTATCAATGTTTTGAAATCATCCTTAACTTCATTACCTGAATAAATGAGTCCAGATATCTTTGTAGCTAAAGCTTTTTCACCATTGTTTTTGTTCTGTAGCAGTACACAACTTTGAGATTGTAATGCGTCCGTCACATAACCATTTTGGAAATTGACTACCATTGGATACACAGAATTCTTTGGGTAAATCTCGTCGATGTGGATTTTCGGCATTTTAAATAAACAACATATTAATAAAAATAAATGCCGCTTAGGGATAGCGTGTATTTTTGAGGTTATAAACACAGACAGTATAAATCAAAGAGCAAAGAGTAGTTAGTACCTATGATATCTAAGGAAATCAAAGAGTTTTTTTTTATAAGTTTTACCGGTCCTGGCTTCTATGGCCTTCAGCAGCCGTTGGGTAATATTAGGGGTTTAAGTATGAAATTGCCGTTTTATTGTAAAAGGTTCCTGATTGACATAGAATCTTCTTGGTTTGAGATTTTCGAAAGAAACTTCTTTCACGTGGTTCTATGATGTTCTTCTTTTGAAAAATGTGAATCATTTGAATATCGACTTTCAATTGTTTTTATTATTCAACTTAGACAAGAAATATGGATACTGCGAAAATTCGAGTGATTTTTTATTACGAGTTCCGACGCGGAAGTAACGCGGCAGAAACAGCCCCCAATATCAATGTTGCGTTTGGAGAAGGGTCTGCTAATGCACGCACCGTGCAATTTTGGTTTAAACGCTTTCGTGATGGAAACTTCGACTTGAAGAACGAGGCACGAGGAAGACCGCGCGCACTCAGGTGAATAATGATGAATTAAGAAAGAAGTTGATCCTAGTCAAAGTACCCAGGAATTATCGACATGGTTCAATGTTACCTTACTCACAATATTGTCTCATTTGTGTCAAATTAATAAAATAAAAAAATACGAAAAATAGGTGCCACATGATTTGACTGATCTGCAGAAAGAAACGCTTGTTGACATTTATGTTGCCTTGTTGAATCGGTACAGAAATGAAGGAATATTGGATCGACTCAATGGCGTAGCTACCAAGGGGCCAGGCGAGGCAGTGCCCCGGGGCCTTCAAGCTCAGGGGACCCTCGAATCTTTACCAGAAAATCTCAATCGAACTCAACTTTTAAAAATTTCTCCCATTTTCAAAATAAATATGACAGGTGACAACTCGAGTTTAATCATGGCAACTCAGTTGTGAGAAAAACCAAAGTTATAAATAGGGAATTCCCTTAAATTATTTGTGTGGGTTGACAGTGTTATTAATGTTTTCATCAATTTGATGGATATCAATATCTGCATATTATTATTTATCGATATGCGTTTTTGTGATTCGCGATTGTGAACTTTGAGTCAAGATTTTTTTCGAGAATGGTTAAAAAGTTAATGTATCAGGAGTAAGTAAGCGTATGTCAATACATTTTTTGTACTGGTCCATACAAAAGTCCAATTTTATTTGATTATCAATAGTATGTAAACATAGTTACGTAAAGAAATCTATAGATTTCGGCTTCTCACTATATAACTCAAAATACCGTGAAAAATACACGTCACATGGGGTAGGGGGCCGTCCCTTAATTACGTGATGTTTTTTTGTCATTTTTTAAACCGTCAAATGTGGTAACACTGGCGGCGATAAAATGTTTGCCGGGGATTCCCCAACGACGTTTTGAATCATATCATTACGTTTCGCTTTCCTTTTACTTGTAACGTTGTCATGAACAGTGAGTACCTAATTGAGTACAATCTTACATAAATATTGTATAAATAAATTAGAAATGCAAATAACGCCAAGAAAAAGAAGAAAGTAAACAAAAATTGCCCAAAATTGACAAGTTTTTTTTAGTCAGCCTTCTGCAAATACTTCTGGACAAAATATTACTATTAATAATTTTTGTAAATAGCTTGCATCGCGATAGGTTAAATAACAGTAAGCTGGTGCAACGTCTCTATGAATAAATAAATATATAATAAACTCTTGAATCTTTTCTATTTCGTTTTATTGCCCAATACCTACACCAAGTATAAAAATAATTGTAATTTATGTTGTTAGTGTTTAATAGTTTTATTACCTGCCCATGCACGAAAGAGAGCTGATGATAAAGTTGCTTAGCATTTTTAAAGTATTTGTATATTAAATGATTTTACTTCAAAAAACGTTACCAGGTTTTGATAGTAGTGGGCCTCATTTCTTTATTTGCCCCAGGGCCCTAGTTACCTAGCTACGCCACTGGATTGAATTGAGACATGTGATGAAAAGTGGATTCTTTATGATAACCATAAAAGAAAAATGCAATGGCTGCCTCCAAGTCAAACGCCACAACGGTGTCCTAAAGCAAAACTTACCAATAAAAAGGTAATGGTAATTGTTTGGTGGTCACAACATGGTGTTATTCACTATAGTTTTCCCCGATCTGGGTCAAGCAATAACAGCAGATGTCTATTGTGCCGAACTCCGAACAATGTTGGTAAAACTAGCAGTAAAACAGCCCCGACTCATGAATCGATCTTCACCATTATTGCTCCATGACAACGCGAGACCTAATACAGCACGAGTAACCGTTTTGACCCTTAAGGAACTGCACCTGCAGTGAGAAACCATTCGTCATCCTCCGTATTCGCCAGACCTTACTCCAACGGACTACCATTTTTTTGTGATTTGGACAATTATCTACGTGAAAAGAAGTTTTCTTCCCAGGAGGCAGTACAAAATGCTTTCACACAGTTTGTGCAGTCTAGATCCTCAGAGTTCTATCGCAAAGGCATAAATGACCTTCCTATTAGATGGCAACAATGTATAGATAATAATGGTAACTATTTTGGTTAAATAAATTTGTTAAAAAATAAAAACTTCGATTTTCAGTACAAATCGGCAATTTCATACTTTAGCCCCTATTATATACTTTACTCTTTGACATTGACTTGACAGTCACTCACTGTCACTATCAAAAACACAATTTTGTTGTGGGTTTTTGTCATAGAGTAAGGTAGAGTGGAAATATTTTCTATGGTTATATAAATATCATGCAATCTGAAGTTGACATCAAAAACATCATGTTGTCTTTTTTTAACTAATAAGAAGTTTCTTTAGGAAACAAAGATAACACTAGTGTGACAGTTCAAAATTTTTTACGTGACGTCATGAGATATAGCTATCGTACCACCTGTCAGCCATTTGCAAATTTGCTTTGCGTATTCTCGGAAGTAGTTTAGCTGTCAGTGTTATAAGTTTTGTGGTTATTTTCATTTATAACTTTAATTTATATAACTTTCATGGCAGAACATTGTAAATTATTTATGCAAAACAATGCCTAGGTGCTGTATAATTGGTTGTGCGTCATCAATATCCCGCAAACCGAGCAATATTACGTTTCACCGGTAAGTTAAACACTTTCTTGGAATAACAGTATTTAAAACGAAAGTAAGTTATTCTGAAAATGATTGCGTGTATAAATCGATACATATAGTATTTTGGCGTGTTCTTTTTATGCTATATTGCTCTTTTCGTTTATATTTTTATAATATTTCGGTCCGTAAATAATATTGTTTACATGGCTAGTGTCGTTACTTTAACATATGGTTTATATCGATAATTTTAATATTTAAAAATATATTAATTATTTTAGATTACCAAAAGATGAAACAAAAGAGGAAAATGGCCGAGTTACATAGAAGAAGAAAATATTAAATGTAATGAAAAAGTTACTTTTATCTGCTCACTTCATTTTAGGGAAAGTTGTTTGAATCGAACTTTAAATATAATAAAATTACGCGATGATGCATTGCCAATCAAATACTCTGGTAAGAATTTTTGACAATTGCTTTTTACTTATTAAAAAAAAAATGTCTATTACACTTAGTTAATTTTCATTTGATTTTACTGATTTATTTATTTAGTTTTTTTATATAGTCATTTTGTTATTCTATAAATGTACCTTATTTTTAGTCTTGCGGTCATATGACGACTATTTTAATTGAAAAAAATCAGAATGCAATATATAATAATATTAAAATATAAAATTCTGATCATAATATACTCCCAGTAAAATATACAATAAAATGAGTTAAATAATTTTAATAAAAATTAAAATATGCACACTTATCAAATTAAAGGCATAGTTAAAGGTTTTCTTTGCTGTTCAATAGTATTATCTTAATACCCAAATAATTATTTTGCGGCGTGGATGTTTATTTTGCTGATGCATCATAAAATACGCTACCTTTTTGAATTTAAATTGCTGACCGTTATCATGATTGTTCACAGAACATGAATTGCAGACTGTTTTAGTGCTGAGAAAATATTTGTATGCTTGCCTATTGATTAATCGGCTGTTTTCTTCTTGCTAACCAAATTTTTAAATAAAATGCCAATTGTTACTTCTTTAATAATGTGACTGTTATGCCAATTGTTACTTATTCATCACCAACTTTGTTTTCTTTATTTTCTCTTGTTTATTCATCAAAGTTTACAGTATTTTTATGTTCTTTTACCAATAATATAATACAAAGATTATGTAGGTGTTTCAAGTTTTCTGTGTTTACTACTAAACAAGATGTTCTGAACTAAAATTGTGACACAGTACGCACGGTATCTCACTTAATGAGGAGGAAGCGAAATTTATTCAGTCAAAACAATTTATTGAAAAAATTTATAGACAAGTTGGCTTACTAGTTACAAGCATATAAGAAAGTCGAAACTCTGTGCTTATAGTTCAGCAATCTATTGCGGGAAACCTTGTACCGAGAAAAGAAGAAACTGTAAGAAAGGAACCGGTAAGAAACTGCAAGGGCTGCTTTTGCACCCTGTTTAATTTCGTACTGAAAAATAAAAAATGACTTCATTAGACTAAAATGTCACTTTCCACGAAAACAATAAAAAATATATAACAGACAAAAAAAAGCATAATAATTCATTCGTCAATCGACTCATTATCTTGGATTCGTGGTAGTTATCTTGGACAGTAGTCACACTTCCCGTGGATGGAAAATTAAACTTATGTTAAAAAAACTATTTAATTATAATTGCAAAATGTCAACTTGACAATATATATGGAAATAATTATAAAACACGATTGATATTATTGTAAAACTTTTAAGATATATATTTTGGTACTATAGTTCTTAAAACTATGTAAAATTGGCTATATTAGAGGAAAAAGAAACATATTTATCGAGGTACAATCATATTATAAAATTATATTATTAAATAATATAAATGTGAAAGTTTGTGAGGATGGATGTTGGTTACTCTCATGTAAAAACTACTGAACGGATTTTGATGAGATTTGGAATACGAATAATCTTTTACCCGTGGGAAGCGCCATCATACGCTGGTAACATATGTTATATTTACTATAGTGACGCAACGGAGTCGCAAGAACAAAGAACGCAAGAAATTTTAGATGTCCAACAAAATACGAGCAAAAGATTGCTTAATGATTTATAAATAATTGATAAATTCACGCCACTTTAAAAAAAATATTATTTTCTTGATACTGGCGTGAATTTTTCAATTTAATTAATAATAATCATAAATAGGATTGGTACCTAAGTGTGAAATGAATAGAAGTGTAATAGGTAATAGTTTAGCCATGCCCCTAACAATGAAAATTATATTACATTATTTAATAAGTAGTAGTATTGTAGCAGTTTCACGAAATACTAACTTTTATTTAATATGACTTCAATGTCGATACAAATATCGATATCTTGGGTCACGCCCTATGACAATCCGCCATCGAAGAATTTGCATTTGAAGTTTAGGCATATACGCTTTTTTCGTAGGTATGGCCGGTCCTCTTCTTTTATGTCTATGGTTTTTGTTATTGTTTGTGTATGGTGTTAATTTGTGTTCTAACTACTAATTGCTTCAGCCGTCGTGATAGATTTCTTTAACTGCGAAAGTTTTAGCGTGATTTCACAGTTCGACATTTGTGTTCCTTAGAGGTCCACCTAAAAGATTGACTTACTCTTTTTAAACTGTAGTCATGTCTTATTTATTAGCATGCCGAGTGTGCTTGGCATCCGATTCACGTATGTTTTCAATATTAAACGGACCTCTACAAGAGCTATACGAACAAATTACAGATTCGCAGGTAATAAAATCTATTTCCTATGGCTACTATTTATTTAATAAAGATAATTAATAATATTCCCAGTGCTAAGGTAGGAACTTCTCTGGTAATGCTTAAGTGAAGAATTGTTGCTCATGTATGTTCTTGCTGATACCCGATGGTAAAACAGGTATAGAGAAAGACCAGGGAGCTTTTAGATCACATGAGTTTATTTACCACCAAAAATATATATTTTATAAAATACAATTAGCACCGACAATAGCTTTACGAAGAGTTGACTTACAATATATAATAACAATAGACGCGCATGTGCAGAACAGATTGTCAAAATGTCAATATTTTAATTAATAACTATTTTAATTAATAAAATTTATTAATTTTGCAAGATTACACCGATTTGATGAATCTGATAAAAAAAAATTGTACTGCTTTAGTTTTAAAAACAAAAGTCTTAAACAGAGTTTTGAGATATATCAAAACAATTGTAATGAGTTATTTGATACTTTAGATAAAAATCCTACTTCAGCTATTGTTTTTCAAATAGTTATGTACATTTCAGAGTTTGAAGTTAGTAGGTTAGTTAAGAAACTGAAATGTGATGAATGTAGACATAATTTATGTATAAAAGACATATTATGGTAATCTTAATGAAAAATGCTTAAAAAATCAATTTTGTTACTGGTACCCTGAGATGGGACTGGAACCCCCGACCTTTCGTAATCCGGGCGACTGCTCTAACCATTGAGCTACCCAGGACTGTAAGGTTACGAATTTTTCAAGCAATTGTTACTTTTTCGCTACTACAGAGCGTATTTTTATCAAAAGGCCGAATTGCGAAAGGTTGTGGGTTTGAATCCCATCTCAGAATACCAGGGGTAAGTGGATTTTTTAAGTATTTTCCATTATGAATATTTTCCAGTATAGCATTGTGCAAATATATTTTATTACGAACATCTTTCATTCATCATTAGCCCTTTTACGTCCCAACTCAACTCAGGGCTCAGGCCATCCTTATGGATGGCTAAGGAGGATAGGCCATAACTTACCACGCAAGCCCAAAACGGATTGGAAGGTATGAACGACTGCAGCGGCTTACCGTGCCTTCCGAAGCATGGAATAGCTCGAGATAATCCTTTTTACGTTACTCATCGTGGCCGCGGCGCTTATCTACTACACCATCGAGCTATTTATTAACCTTGTATATTATATTGTTTCAGCTGGAAATGAAAGACTCGAGACCTGTATGTCTGTGCTACATTTGCTATTATATGATGAAGAGATTCCAAAAGTTTAAGGAAAAATCAATAAAGGCCAATCAGCTGTTATCACGTCTGATAAGTTCAGATTTAATGGTAAATAAAGTTATAATTATAACCCATAGTGAGCGACCACGTTTCGTTGCAACGTTTCGGCCACTATGGCTCTCATAAGAAGGCTTAAGGTCATTCGGGGGGCAATGGAGGGAGTAATTTTTTCTATGTGGACGAATTGGGAATGAGTAGATCCGCCATTGGGGCGAAAAGGTCCCGGTATGGCGAATGCGGAAGTCGCCGGACGCTGGCAGCGCAGGACCGATCGTCTTGAAGATATTATAATATATATATTTTATTCAATTCAAAATCAAATTATTTATATGTTTAAAACATGGTTGAAGTTGAAGAGTTATATAATGTGTACATTTTTTTCTTTGGAACAAAAAGTGCCAGTGAAAATGAGTAGACATTGGATCAAATTTATTTTGACGAAAGCTTGAGCTTTAGCTTTCGTCAGCGGCTTCACCCGCGAGGTCTCTAGGGAAATGTTTAGTGGAAAAAAAAGTATCCTATTATTTAAGTGAGCTAATGCCCTATCTGTATACCAAATTTCATCAATATCCGTTCAATAGTTTATGCTTGATTGACGGACAAACATGCAAACAAAGAAACTTTCACATTTATAATATAATATTAATAATAGTGTTTACATTCAGCTAGTAAGCAAAATTGTGTTATGGTACAAGCTGTGGATAAATATTATTTGTGTATGTACTGAATGGTATGTCAAGCTTAGGAATAAGACAATGTAACGCAAAGAGTAAACCACACTGAGATGCTCTATTCGCACAGCGCCATCTAGTGATTGTTGTGATACACCACAGTATATAAGTACGAATTAGACACTGAACTAATACTTTGTAAATGAGAATAGACATAGATTGTTTTTTAAAACGTTAGCAATAGGAATAGTTTGGAACGTTATTATAGTACCTACTTACTTTACTTCGATGGTTCAGCAACCATTAGCGGATCGCGAATGTGAATATTATTAGTAGATATTCTATTACTTATTATGGCAACCCTGGAATACTCCCACGAACAAATAGGTAACTTTACTCTTTGGGCGGGAAACTCCCGATGAATGTATGAACGGATCTTACAGTTTTATTTTAGTAAATACAAAGTAGCCGTTTCTTACTAGATCCACATGTAAGTATACACGGCACATACCTATACCACAATAATATTTTTTTCTTTTTTTGTCTGTCTGTTTGTTCCGGCTAAACTCTGAAACGGTTAGACCAATTTTGACGGGACTCTCACTGGCAGATAGCTTATGTAATAAGGAATTACTAAGGCTACTTTCCACGCGGACGAAATCGTGGGTATAGGTAGTTTAATTCTATACATTTGGCATTGACAATGCTGGTATAGTATATACAATGGATTTTTAACTATTTTTCATTAACTAAGATGCCTTTAAAATACGATGGAATTAATCAGAAAGCATTAATAAACTTTTGGGGTAAAATTATTTAATAATCATTGACATTAATCGATTATTCATTGATTACAAGTTAAACTATGATCGATTAATCGATGTGTATATTAATTGAATATACACATCATTATAAAAATATTCTAAAACAGCCACCCTTTCTGCCATATATAATAGACGCGTCGACATCGGTGTGCGCGATTCAGCGACGCACAACGCCATCTAGCGACGAGCAGATCAAACACCGCGTTGCGTTGTTACTGGAATCTGGAATACATCTTCTGTCGTTCCGTAACAGTTATATAATTTTAAATGTATACTTTTTTCAGATGACAGTAGATTCCCTTGGCGTGATTGTGAAACAGCAACCCGGTCTTAGTTGGAATATGGCAATGGCTCCCGTACAAAATGTCACGTTTTCAGACACTGAAGAATTCAATCATCAGATCATATACAAAATAGAGACGGTGAAATCTGAAATAGACTATGATGAACCGAATGATCAAAATAAAACAGGTATTACCAATGATATTATATAATTAATTATACTTTAAATAAAAACTTAAATTAATAAGTAAGAAAACTAGAATTATTGTTTTGTTAAACAACTTTAAATCTTTATATATCCTAAACTATTGTTTAAAATGAAAAATGATAAAAGGAACCTAAAGATGATTTTAAAATACCTATTCAACGACACCCCACTTGAAATAGTTCATCGATTTTTTCTTTTTTAATTTTGTCAATATGGCGTCTGGTTGTCGCTGTGGTGAATTTTGATTACTGTCATGTCTTTAGTGACACTCGCAAGATTAAGACGAATCGATTGACGTAAGAATCATCAAAATCGGACTACGCATTTGGTCTCTAGAACGCCACATAGAAACAAACATACATACATAGACTGATAAACACATTACTATATTTGCGTCGCGCAGTCGGGTAAAAAAGAAGCAGATATGTCATAAGTGCACGTATAGTGAAGCCTCGAACACTTGCCAATTGGCAAGTCTTGTAATCAGTCCGTCTCTTTCACTTACGCGCTGGCTGGATGTTCCATCTCTTTCGTACGGTTGATACGTACTTGTCAATGTGTGCAGCTTTAGAGTATCCTGCTCAGATGTCACCGCAAATAAGTATGAAAGTAACGTATCTTTGCTTAATATATCATTGGGTTATTACTAAGTTCTTTAAATTATTGAGTTAAAGACTCTTTCAACTGGATGTTTCATCTCTTCAATTACCCTCCAATCCGCATTGGGCCAGCGTGGAGGGTCATGATGGCCCATCCTCCTTAATCATTCATAAGAAAGGCCTGAGCCCCTGCAGTTGGGACGTAAAAGGGCTGATGAAGACTTTTTCAACCCGACCTTTGATAAAAATAAAAAAGACAAGTGCCAGTCGGTTTCAAGGGGTTCCGTACAGGATATGAGCAAAAAAATCATGTTTGTTGTATGGGAGCCCCCCTTAAATATGTTTTTATTTTTTATTTAATTATTTATTTTTAGAGTTACTATATAAATAAAGACTAGCTCGCAGTGGATAAGCACAGCGGCCCGCGATCGTTGTCGTTAAGCAAACTTTCGCAAGGGTCGGTCACGGGATGGATGACCAAGAAATTATTATCGCGAGCTACTCCGTGCTTCGGAAGGCACGTTAAGGTGTTGGTCCCGGCTGCATTTGTAGTCATTAATACCCGCCAATCCGCATTGGGCCAGCGTGGAGGGTCATGGGCCGTGCCCCTTAACCATCTATAAGGAAGGCCTGAGCCCCTGCAGTGGGAACGAAATAAAGGACTGATGATGATATAAATAAATGTTATTCTGTAAATATTTCAAGCGTGTACCTAATGTCGTTATCAATATAGGCCAAAAACAAGCAAAAAAACATTACGTTTTTGGTTTTTAGTATTTGTTGTTGAAGCGGCAACAGAAATACATCATCTGTGAAAATATCAACTGTCTAACCTTCACGGTTCATGAGATATACCTTGGTGACAGACAGACAGCGAAGCCTTAGTAATAGGATTCCCGTTTTACCCTTTAGGTTTGTAACTCTAAAAATGGAAGATACGGCATACTCACAGTTGCGTTGATAAAATGACACTCATAACACTATGTGAGTAAACTCACTCACTTGCACTGAACTAGCAAGCTACAACTATTGCTAATAATGCCTACGTTTATTTAACAATTCCATTTAGGAGCGGAGACTTGACTGTTATAATAAATAGATTTAGATTTTCTCTTGACTAATTCACAGTTAGTGGCAAAAACGTACATTAAGGTTTAATAACGCCTTTAATTAATGTTAATTGTCTGGAGACAATGTTGCTTTAAACTAGTGATAACGTTTGTACAACTGGCTGAATGTTGTTAATTTATTCTCTATTGTTTATAAAATAATATTTTCAGTATAGCATAAGGTTCTTAATTGAATAATTGTTTTGTTTCAGATGAAATCGATAATGTACCAGCATTAGAAATAAATAATGATTCATTAACGGATTCTGAAGACGAAATACCTCTGCATAATATAAGGAAGAGCATCAGAGATGTTAAAATTAAAAAGAAATCCAAAGTGAAATTAAAAAGCAAAAATAATGTTAACGAATCAAGAAATCGTAACAAATGTGAGTTTATCTAATTATAGAACACGTACAAAGGTGTGACGTCATGCGGCATTCCAAAAAAATATTTTATCCGTAACCTAACAGACAAAAAAAAATTACACGTCATCAATCCCTATTTAAATTCATAAAGTCAACACTTCTAAAAAAAAGTTTTTTATAGGCTGTTTGTGTCTAATCAAAAAGATAGATACATATATGCCAGTCACTATTTATCACTCACTATAAGCAGTGACTTAATGATTGATTAATTTATATAAAACAGTGATTTAATTATTTACCCAATCATTGAAAATAGCGAGTTAATTATTTACCCACTCACTGAAATCTGCGAGTTAATAATTTACTATCTCACTAAAACAGTGAGTTTGTTATTTACTCACTCACTTTACACAGTGAGTTAGTAACTAGCTCGATAAAGCAGTGAGTTCATTTATTTTACAGTATTGATACCAGACGCTCGCGAAATAATATTAACCAAAAAGGAACAAATCCAAGAAATGTTGGAGAGAGAGAAGTCTCTGAATTATATAAACTCACCGTTCAAATGCGGCTTGTGTTTTAAAGGATTCGTTGATATTAGAGCGTTTGAGAACCATAAAGAGAAACATGATGAGGTTAGCAACTATTATTAATTGGTTATTTGTGATCTTTAAGTGATATACAGGGTACAAATCGCTTAGGTAAAGGAAGTAAAGCAACCTTTTCAAAGGCCGGTTATGGGATGGGTGACCGATTTTTTTCTCGAGCTCCTTAGTGCTTCTGAAAGCATTCGTTGTCGCGTTGGTTCTGGCATTGGTGACGTTCATTACCAGTCTATTAAAGTCCACACAGCTCGAGAAAACAATCGGTCACCCATCCCATAACCGGCCTCTGGGAAAGTTGCTTGACTTTTATTATGTTGTTGAAACAGCGCAGCGGTTCGTTTGAGTGTGACGTGTGCCATATGAGATATCTGACGGCGAGGCATCTCCGCACTCACGTGGTGACGTCACACGGACGGCGATACGCCTGCAATAAGTGTGAACACCGCTCACATACACCGTGAGTACACAGCTTTAGATGGATTTGATTAAAAAAGGTATTTGCTTAAATCATCATAACTTTAAATCCAATGTTACATTTTTTTACAGTCTATCGCAATACTTTTCCAAGGTATAGCGATTATGGTATTTTTTTTTAATTATATAAAATTTTAAGTTTCAATCGTTAACGGAACAAATAATGAATTAAATAACCAAGAGACAAAAAATAACTTAGTAACTGAAATTATTATTTTCGTCTAACGCTTGCTTTAGACCACCGTTTCCCAAAGTGGGTGATAACACCCCTTATGGGCGCTGCAGGCCTAAATGGGGGCGGTAAGATACCCAGAAAAAAATTGTAGAGGCTTACTGCCTACTGAGCTCAGTGCCTTTTCAGCGTTCAGCACGCCTACTCTTGAACTCAATCTCAATATCAACTTCAATCCAATCCAATGATCTTAATGTTCAACAAATCTTAGCTGAAAATCTTGAAACATAGACTCCATATTTTCTGAATGTTGATTAATTCATTCTATAACTACGCATTACTTAGCCAATTGCCAAAAAAAATATTAGTTCCCAAAATCAAACTAGATGTCGCTATGGTAAGTTCTTGATTTCTCCATGACAACCCTACCGGTTTTCTTTCATGCATAAAAGTAAATTAGTTTTCAAAACTCAATAAACAACTCATATACTATTTGTACTTTTTCGTATTTGTATTGATATCTAAGTTTCGAATTTTTCAAATTACAGTTTTTTAATATGTTGGTTAAAAGGAACGGAAATGACTGTCTTTGGTCCATTTTCAGTTACCTGCAAAAACCATCTAGGGGATTTTTTTCATCTAGGGGAGATGCTTTTTAGTTCTTTCCTTTTTTTAAAATACTTCCTTATTATATTATACATACAACAAAAAATTATCTTTATAAAAAGTAAGTAATATAATTTTTTAATTAACCCCAGATAATTAATTGACATTCCGTATTTTTTGCACTTTTTAAGCATATATATCTTACAGGCTGAAAAATAATCTGGCAACCCTAAACCTGGACTTAGTCGCGGGCACAGCTAGTTATTATTATGAAGTCGAAAGATTTTATTTGTTTAAAAAATTCTTTCACCTACGGCATGTTACGATATAATATACTGGGGTAAAATCGCGGGAAAACAACTAGGATATAATTTATATTTCTTTTTTTTTAATTATCAGGAATCAAGCTCGGGAGCATGATAAATGGCATAACGGTGTTACCTACGAATGTCGACTATGCAGCCATATGTTTAGGTATGTTTTAAAAATGTTACTTCTATACTAATATTATAAAGAGGAAAGATCTGTTTGTTTGTTTGCTTCAAATAAGCTCAGAAACTAAAGGACTTATTTTGAAAATTCTTTCATTTCCTACGGGAAGCTACATCATATGCGGTAGGCATAGGCTATATTTTATCCCGAGAAACAGCAAATTAAGGGATGAAAATGGGTGTGAAAGTTTATATGGGGAATTAAAACGTTACCACAGTAACCATTGTTTACTATTCAATTTGTCATATACACCTTATGAAAATGAATTATTAAATTAAATTCTAAACCAGGATTAACATATGCGTTACTTTTTATCCCACTAAACAGTTCCCTAGGGCCAACGCGGGCGAAGCCGCTGGAAGAAAGCTAGTATTGAATGAATGAATGAATGAATTATTTATTCTGGTACAAGCATGAGACAAATTAGATACAGTTTTAGGATACAAAATACAATAAAAAAAATATATATATATATATATAATTAAAAAAATAGTTATAATAACTTATATACAATTGCGTCTCACGAATGCACCAAAAGCATATAAATAAAAATATTAAGATATAACCAGTTACCTGGTTGTCTAATTTCAAAATCTATCGCTTCCTAACTATCCCTTTCGAAGGTGTAACGATTGTGACAGCGATTTATAGAATGATGTTAGTTTTAAAGTCGCAATTATTTTGGAACGAATTATTTTAATTATCGAAAAAAAAACATAATTAAAACTTAGTAACTTAAAAGTAATATTGACGTCTTACGCTTGCCTTAGACGAATCTATCATTCTATAAATCGCTGTACCTTTAAAAGTGGTTAGGTTCCAGCAGAGCGATTCTGTAAAAATCCGAACCCGAATTCGAATTCACTCAGGTGAATATTGTCACTTCGAAAGCGAATCCGCTTAACTTTTATTATTAGTGTATAAGTTCTATTGATTCCATTTTTTTGTATAAAAATACAAAACATGAATGACTGATTCATACGTGTCTCGGATATTCTACCCCTATGTCATTACGAAACTCATGGTCAAGCTGATGTCGGAATCGTTCTGCAGCCCTACGGCTGTGTAAAAATCCAAACCCGAATTCTAATTCAATTAAGTGTTCAAATTTTTGAATCGCTCATAACGTTTCGTTGCATAAATGAAGTGAGTTTCGCATTTTTATATAATCGTTTAAGTAGCTCGGTGGTGTAGTGGATAAGCGCCGCGGCCCGCGATCGTAGTCGTTAAGCAACTTTCGCAAGGGTCGGTCACAGGATGGGTGACTGAAAAAATATTATCTCGAGCTACTCCGTGCTTCGGAAGGCACGTTAAGCCGTTGGTCCCGGCTGCATTTGCAGTCGTTAATACCCTCCAATTTGTATTGGGCCCGCGTGGAGGGTCATGGCCCATCCTCCTTAACCATCCATAAGGAAGGCCTGAGCCTCTGCATACGTAAAAGGGCTGGTGATGATATAATCGTCCTGCTTATCAGCCCTGCGATTCTGTAAAAAGCCAAACCCGAATTCGAATTCACTTAAAAAATCGGCATCCGCTTAGTGCTAACGTTTCGTGGCTTAAGTGAGTTTCGAAATTATATAAGAATAGAATATCAGACACACGTATATCGGATATATTGGGTCGTTACGTTCCCTAAAATATGGTTAAGCGGAGCAATGGCTGACTCATTCGTCATGCTCGTGAACGGGTGCTGCCAGTGGGGATGAGTCTGCTCTGGACTACTTAACTTTTATCTATTCTTATAGAGCCCATTTTCTTTTATAATTTCTTTTATATGGTATTGATTTGTTAATAATCACTTATCGAAAATTCTTTATTCTAATGAAGTCACATTTCAATAAGACTTCTCTGTGTGAAGTAAAACAGGGAGAAAAAAACAGCCCTCGTCGAAGTTTCTTGACGGTTCTTCTCAGTACTAGTCTCCCGCCGTAGTTTTGCGAACCGATGGCGTAGCTCTCTTCTATATTTATTGAAATAATCAGTAATGTGTGGCTGGACGTTTAATCAACATAATCATAATTCACAAATTCACAATAGAAAACTACAATACTGTTACAAACCTCAGGCATAGACTTTTTCTAGAACAAAAATTAACCATAGAGTATCTAATCACTAAAAACCATCATAGATTAAAACTCACGACATGGATTAAAGTTTGTACATAACACTCTCGACTTTCACAAGTGCTCTGTAAAAGCTAAAACTGAATAAAAATTTTTGATTTTAATTTTTTTCAATCAATTTATTTCGTACCTATTTTTATACAAAAAACGGAATCAATAGAATCTCTTTACTTAATGGCGTCAATTCGGACTCATGAGAGTGAATCCCGAATTCGGGTTCGGATATTTACAGAATCGTCCTGCCGATCTGAAGGGCTAAAGTTGTGTATCTAATTAGGAAATCCACGTCATATCTGACGCATATGCGTAAACGTCATCCGAGCTCGCATGTGTGCGGGCAGTGTGGGGAGAGTTTCGTCAGTAAGCATGGACTGAGCATGCATTGTACCAAGGTGCATAGAGGGAAACAGGTATGTGGACTCAAAGGGTTAGTTGTGTTGCAAAAAATTCTAGGTAAATGCATTGCTATGTTCAATAAAGTTCCACCAAATGTAATTGGAGTAGCTCGGTGGCGTAGTGGATAAGCGCCGCGGCCCGCGATCGTAGTCGTTAAGTAACTTTCGCAAGGGTCGGTCACGGGATGGGTGACAAAAAAAAAATATTATCTCGAACTACTCCGTGCTTCGGAAGGCACGTTAAGCCGTTGGTCCCGGCTGCATTTGCAGTCGTTAATACCCTCCAATCCGCATTGGGCCAGCGTGGAGGGTCATGGACCATCCTCCTTAACCATCCATAAGGAAGGCCTGAGCCCCCCTGCAGTGGGGACGTAGAAGGGCTGATGATGATGAAATGTAATTGACCTAACCGTAAATAAATTTAAAATTCATGTAAAGAACATTCTTATGAGTAAAGGCTATTATAAAGTTGATGATTATTTTAAGGATCGCAATGCATGGAATTGATAGCTTTCGCTTTGTTCTATAACGACTAATTATATGTACAACCTATGTCCTACAGACTTTGAAAGTTGTATTTATTATTGTGATAATACATATTATTTTGCTAATGACATGATTTATGTAAATGTCATTACTTATGATAAAGAGCTGATAAGTTTCTTTCGCTTGTTCTTCTTGTCAGCTAAAAGACGTCCTGAAAAAGTGGTAGGGGAAAATAAAATTTTTTTTGGACGATTCAAAAGAGCTTGAACAAACTTCTTGAATAAAGACATTTTCATTTCGTTGGATTTAAAAAGATTTGCCGTTTTGGAGGTCTTCTCGAACTTATTGTGTTTGAGACGTGTGTGTGTGGGTTTTTCAAGCAATAAATGCTTGAAAATTAAAACGAAATGTTTGAAAGTTAGTTTGTTCACTGCATGAGTTAGTATTGCCATGTGCGCAGAGTTTTGTGTAATATTACATAATGAAACGTTTGTCTAGGATTCCAATGTGGCTTCGACTTCGAAGAAGTACTGTACAGAATGTAATGTACACTTTGTATCGATAGAAGCGTATAACAGACATATACTTCATTCAGTGAAGCACTCCATAACGAACTTATCAAGGTATGATTCTTTTTTTTTGACTTTTTAAGTTTTAACCATGACAAAGACATTGATATTTTCGAGTTCGAAAAAGTTTTGCGCCTAAATAAATAAAATATGTACTTATATTTTCTTTTTAGGGTCCCATGCCCTATTACTAAAACTATGAATAATTAATTATAAAAAAAAACAGTTCTAGTAATAGATAGTGCTTATTAACCTACTCTTCGGAGAACAGAGACAAGAAACGGAGACTTCCTTAGAACTTTATTTTTTTCAGGACATATGTACACACTTATATACTACACTACACTTATATACATAAAAACAATCTGTTATTTGAAATAAGTAATTTGTCTTTGTTTATCTAAAGTTTTGCGACTAGATATAGGTAACATAACACTGTCGGTACATCACCAAGTAATGTAAATACATATGTTAAAAAGTGTTAAATCTATATACATACATACAAATCACGCCTTTCTGCCTTAGGGGTAGGCAGAGACCACAAAAATATATGTCGGCGGGTAGTCAGAAGGGGCTATTACGAAGCCCAAATGGATCGTCCATATCGGAGGACTATCTTTAAAATAACACTGCAGGCGTGTATACCAACGTGGATTTGTTACATTTTATCACTTTTCATACGAAAATATAACGAGATGAGCGTGATGTCGTCCGATGTCATTACACCTCGACGTTCGGAAACAGAATGTGTGCCAAAATGGCGGCAACTTGCTTTTCGTTAACAAACTGTCAAAGTCAGTGTCACCATTCTAATAAAATTAAAAGTATCGATGGTCCCGCCCTCTCTACAATCGAGTAATTAAGTAAGCGAGTAACTAGTAATTAAAAAAAAGAAACTAAATCAAACGATCTTCGTAAAGATGATGCGACATATACAATATCTACCCATTTACAAATATTATAAAGTTTCGTTTATTTATTTTGTGAAATTTTGGCACATATGTCCCGGAATAAAAAATATAGTTCTAACTAAGTCTCCGTGGTTTGTCCTTGTTATAGAATCGCATTTTTTTTTATTATTAGTTGTAAGCAGTGGTCGGAATTAGGTAGAGTTATTCATGTACTTACACTGATTTCATACAGCGAAAGAATAAAGTGGATATGCCTCAAATCCCGAGATTAATTTTAAAGAGCAGAAAATCCCGTGATTTTTTAAATAAAAAGTTATTTACTTTTACACAATTTAAACTACTGCACGCACGACGTTGCCAAACTTACATGAATGAAAGAAAGAAATAAAGAAAGAAGAAATAAAGAATTCCCGGGAAGGTCCACATTAATATCAACATTTCGATGCAAGTACATAAATAACTCTACCTAATTCCGACCTCTGATTATAAGTTATAACTTAGCGTTCTGATCATGGTCATCAATGATATTTATTATCAGATCAACTTGTCTCATATGTGATGCGGATGTGTCTCCAGACAAATTGAAAGCACATCTCCAGGATCACCAGAACGCGTTGAAAACACCGAAAAATCCGTCAGAGAAACTCACGGTTGCTAAAGTCCCATGTGATCAGGTAAACGTCATTGTTGATGAGGAAGTATAAAAAGAAAAGAAAGCACTAAAAAAGCACCTCCGCTAGATGGCGACTCTAGCAAAAATTTGATTTTTGTAGGAAACGAATGGACCAAAAACAGTCATTTCCGTTCCTTTTAACTAACATATAAAAAAATAGAAATTTGCAAAGTTCGAAACTTAGATATCAATACAAATACGAAAAAGTACAAATAGAATATGAGTTGTTTATTGAGTTTTGAAACTAATTTACTTTTATACACGAAAGAAAACCGGTAGTGTTGTCACGGAGAAATCAAGAACGTACCGTAGCGACATCTAGTTAGATTTCGGGAACTAATGTTTTTTTTTTTAATTAGTCCTCATTAGAAAGAGTGTCATTATATCCAATAATACATAATTGCTGCATGGTTATAAAAAGGAAGGGATTCATTAATTATCAAAAGACGAAATGTTTGAAAGTTTATTTGTTTGTTACATCTGCGAGTGTTGCCATCTACAATGAGAGTAATATTAGCTATTTTAAAACTTTTTCTCTATATTTTAGTGTGGAGCTAGTTTTGTGAACATATTGAAACAACAAGCTCATGTTAAAAGAATGCATTTAGGATTGAAATACAACAAGAACATCGTGTGCGAAGTGTGCGGGAAGAAATGTACAGTAAGTACTTTGTTTATTCACTAGCTTTCCGCTAGCGGGTTCGGTCGTGTGGTCCTGTATTATACACATAATTTTTTTTAAATCACACTGTATATTAATAATTGCATTAAAAGCCATTGTGTGGCTTAAAACATCTCTGTACAGACATAGGGAAGTGATTTTGTTATATACTGTATTGTGTACCTCTAGATTTAACACTTTATTGCAGAACTCGGTAATTTGAAATTGTCACTTACATGCAAGCAATATCTACGTAGTTTATCTAGTTGGTAATTAAAAATCATCATCTTCCTTATAGATGGTTAATGAGGATGGGCCGTGACCCTCCATGAGGGCCCATTGCGGATTGGGGGGTGTTAACGACCGCAAATGCAGCCGATACGGTCGTCTTAACGTGCCTCCCGAAGCACAGAGTAGGTAGATAATTTTTTGATCACCCATCCCGTAACCGACCTCTGCGAAAGTTGCTTAACAAAAATGTAAAAGTCAATAATGTAAGCTGTGTCATTATGGCTTGAACTATCTGTAGGTTTTTTATACAATATTATTGTAGCCGACGACGACGATAATAAAACATCTTTATAGTTTTTTTATACTTTATATTTTAAATTTTTTCTTTTGTATTTTGTTGTATTATGTCATTATATAAATAAAAAAAATATGGACAGCCACTGCTTTTGGAATTACAGTAATGCCCCGCTCTAAGCGTATATCGAGGTTTATGATTAAACTATACTCTGCAATTTTTCCAAGTCCTATTAGGTAAAAAAAGGGATCAACCTCGGAATGAGAGATAATAAGCTGTAAATTGGTTTAAACCTTTGTTTTGTCGTTCTAAATGTTGTCTCAAAAGTCACAAACGATATCGTGTCCGCGTCTTAAGATATTGAAGGTCAAAGGTCATAAAAATTGGTTTTTCGCGAATAAACCATATATGACTGTGCGCTGCGCACTCTTCGCGCTCTACCTCAAAAACGGTTGATCGTATGAAAAAAAAAACAAAGTTGTAGAGAATTTAATACTCTACAACTTTCATATGGGTGAAAATATCATTTAAGCAATAGAAAGCGAGATATTCGCGAGAAACCAATTTTTATGACCTTTGACCTTCAATATCTTAAGACGCGGACACGATATCGTTTGTGAATTTACAGCTTATTATCTTTCATTCCGAGGTGAAACCCCTAAAATGACTGGGTTACGTGGGCCGTAGGCGTTTCTGTTTTTCTGCACAACTGGTAGACTCGTCTTGTCTGTGCCTCGCATTGCGGGGGGTTTTTTGAATGGTGCAATAAAGGTTTCACTTTGAAATCACCAGTGGCATTACCACCCAGCAGTAGTATTGGTCGATCTTTCGCAGCTTCGCATTTAGCGTTATAGCGTTATAGTGAAATCGCGCATAACGGAGTCGCGTAAAGCGGTGTATTACTGTATCGATTATATTTTATCAATTAACCATTCACAATGCTATACTGCAAAATATTGTTAATGGGAAATTCTTTAAAAAATCCACTCTGCCCCTGATACTCTGACAACAAGTTGCAAAAACGTCCATTAAAATTGTCATTAGTTTAAAGCTACATTATCCATAAAAATGTCATCCATTAAAGCTTAATGGTGTCATTATACCTTAATTGACGTTTGTGCATCCGACCGTTCGTGCAACCATCACATAGCACCAGGGGCAGAGTAGATTTTATAAACATCAACGCTGGAAAGCAAACACGTAGTAACCTGCAAAACCAAAATGGACACTTAAAGTGGAAAAACTTTATATTTAAAAATATATATATATCTTATTTCCATATAAATGGACTAAGGAACACCTTATTTATTACCATGGACGTTTATAGGAATTATTTATCGAAAAAAATAAAAGTTTTTCAGCTCTAAATTACAATTATGATTTTGCGGGTTACTACGTGTTTGCTTACAAGCGTCGACATTTTTCATTTAAAATAATAGAGAATATGCATACTTTTGAAAAATGTTTTACATCGATATATAACTGTAAAAAAAAAATATCTGGCACCGAAAAAATAAAATTAATTATTGATAGAAATAAGTAATAGCTGCGAGCAGTTTAAACACCAGAATTTTTGGCGCGCCCGTCGTGACGTCAAAGTACACGACTAGAGATGTGACATTTTAAATCAATATCGATTTTGAATGATTGATTATTATTCAATTCCCCAAATCGATTAACAACTAATCGTTTTTTTAAAGTATAATAGACTTTTTTAATAAATCATATAGTCTACCAAATTGATGAAATAAAAATTAAAGCCTACAACATCATTTAAATTGTAATCTGTTGTTTATTTTGCTACATAATCGTTGATGTTATTGCATCGATGTCAACTTTTTGTAACAACGACATCCCTATACGTGTACATTTTCGTCTCATCCGTTCTGACAAGTAGCAGGCGTTTGAATATTTGAAGTTGCCGGTTTTTTTTTGCACTTTTTAATCATTATTTTTAAGACGAAAACGAATTTTTGTTAAAAAATATTAACGTAGACTTTATTCTAAAGCAATAATGATCGAATACAGTATATTTAACCCTTTTTTGAATCAGATGCATATTCTCTATTGTTTTTTAAAATTAAAAAAGGAGGTTCTTATACATGCTCGTGTATCTGTAGTCGAACGCGGGACTAAAATACCACCAGCGGACTCACACCGGTGAGCGTCCGTATAGTTGCGCGTCGTGCAACAAACGATTCAAGGACAAGAACCAGTTGCGCATCCACGCGCGCGCGCACACCGGCGAGCGGCCGTACGCGTGCGCGCTCTGCGGGAAGCGGTTCAGCCAGAAGCCCGCGCTCAACCGCCACTACAGGGTGAGCGGGTACCGGTTTTTTTGTAACCGGTTTCTTTTCTCGCTACCGGTTTTTCTAACCGGTTTGCTTTTATTTATTTATTTATTTACTCTTTATTGCATTAAATAAAGATAATACAAATGGCGGACTTAATGCCAAGGGCATTCTCTACCAGTCAACCTGAGCGAATGTTGGATTTGCATGTTAGGCGATAAAGATTGATATATCCAGTAAAAAAAAAATACAAAATAAAAAATATATAAATAAAAATATTGAATAATTACATAAATACTAATTACACATACACATAAATAACATACAGAATGCGAACGATACAATTACAGTCCGAGATAGTGCTCACGCACCAATTTCCTGAATATCACCTTACTCTGAGTATTTCTAATGCGAAACGGAAGAGCATTCCAAAGGCGAATAGCTGTGAGGGTAAAGGAATTAGAAATAAATGAAGTATGATGAAAGGGGGTTTGAAGAATTAGGTTGCTACTAGAGCGAAGATTACGCTCATGACCGGAACCAAGATAACGAAACCTAGATTTCAAATATCCTGGGGTACATGGATCGAATAAAATATTATAAAGCATACACAGAATTCGTAGGTCTCTGCGTTGAAAGTGAAACGTGTTTTCTTTTTCAAATTTCGGTTTTGTTTAATTTAGATTGAATTGGATGTGGATTATTAGTTTTGTACGTTGCCGGTTTTTGGATTAACGTGTTTAGGATAATTGTAACCGATTTTTTTTTCTTTGTAATCTAATTACCGGTTTTCTACGTACCGGTTTAATTTTTTTAATTGTAAGTTTCAGATTACTGGTTTTTGGATTAACATATTTGTTTTATTTGAGATTTTTAGGGTAATGATTGTTCCAGTGCCTGTTTTTCCATAACCGGTTTTTGTTGTCGTATTGGTACAGCCAGTTGCACAAACGTCCATTGAAATGACATTAGTTTAAAGTGACATTACCTGTACTAGCCACACATTCTTTAGAGCTTTAAGGCTTCATTATACCTTATTGGACGTTTGTTCTACTGATCGTTAGAGAACTGTTTTTTTTAATGCCGGTTTAGAATTCTTGTTTATTTTACCACCGGTTTAATTTTGAATACCGGTTCATTTAATTGAAAATATGTCAATCTATTAAAATCCTCACTGTTTGGGCTCAGGCAGGTTCCATATAGCTGGAGTTGAATTAAATTGAATAGGGTGAATGACCCATACGGACCCAATACAGATTGGTAGTGTTAGCGACTTCAGCAGCCCAGTAGACCGAACCAACGGCTCAACGAGCACGAATCAAAGAGGAGTCGAACAAATTTTCGGTCACCCATCCTATGGCTGGCCATTACGAAAGTTGCTTAACAACCTTCAACATAAATAAGTCATTGATGACTTCTGTCTACATCCTCCAGGTACACACAGGAGTGAAACCCTACGATTGCAAGTTTTGCGCTAAGACCTTCAGCCAATCGAATTCACTGAAACTTCACGTGAACACGGTCCATTTGAAAATGCCAAACAAGAAGAAACCTATTAATAATACACAAACAGAAGAGGAAAATAATGTTATAGCTAATTCTTTGATAGGAAAAGTTTGAGAATAAATGAAAGACACAAAATCAATAAGATAGAGACCGGATTTTTAGGGTTCTGTAACAAAGATAAAAGTAAAGAGCGAATAAGACTCGGTCATAGAGTTCCGTATAGGAATCGAGCAAAAAGTAACGTTTGTTGTATGGGAGCCCCCATGAATATTTGTTTTATTCTGTTCTTTTAGTATTTCTTGTTATATCATCATCATCATCATCAGCCCTTTTAAGTCCTCACTGCAGGGGCTCAGGCCTTCCTTATGGATGGTTAAGGAGGATGGGCCATGACCCTCCACGCTGGCCTAATGCGGATTGGAGGGTATTAACGACTGCAAATGCAGCCGGGACCGACGGCTTAACGTGCCTTTCGAAGCACGGAGTAGCTCGAGACAATTTTTTTTTGGTCACCCATCCCGTGACGGACCTTTGCGAAAGTTGCTTAACGACTACGATCGCGGGCCGCGGCGCTTATCCGCTACGCCACCGAGCTACTCTTGTTATAGCGGCAACATATATATATCATCTGTGAAAATTTCAACTTTCTAACTATCACTGTTCATAAGATATAGACAGCAGACTGATTTTTTTTAATATTAAATATTTAAGGGCTAAAACAAACGTGATTTTATGCGATTTCTTTTATAATTAATGGTACTGAACGGACTTTTTTATAGTGTTGCATATAATTTTCCTTATAATAAGAGAGTATAATTATGTCAAGTAATTAATGAATGATAAATTCTAAAGGTAACTATGTAATATTTTTCTATAGAAATTCGATAAATGAAATAGAATAAAGAAGAAATAAGATAGATTTTTATTTGTGTCACTATAATTTTTTTACATTGTTCTTACTGCCTTTTGTTAAGCAATTTTAAACTATATTCATGAGGCTTTGGGTTAACAATAGTATAATTTATAGTACTACACTTGGAATAACGACTATTTTTTTTTATTGTGCAGATTATTGATGAATATTAAACTCGTTATTTTTTTTTATTTTTGCGTAATCAATAAATTACGCCTATACAGCGAGATTTCACTCGTTTGACGTCACACTAAATTTTCTACATAGTTGTGAATTGTGACGTGGCTTAGCCTCCAGGCTCGGAAATAGGGGGGAGGGAGGCAAATCTCGTCAAAGTCAAAATCATAAATAGACCTCTTAAAAGTACTTTTGAATCGTCCAATTTTTTCCCTACCGCTCGTTGAGGGCGTCTTTTGGCTGATAAGAGGAACGAGCAAAAAACTCACCAGCTCTAATAGGAGTAATGACATTCACAAAAACCATGTCATTACCAGATTAATACATTATAAATAGAGAGAGAGAAAAAAACTATGATCTTATAATGATAACGTAGTCATTTAATAATAATGGAAACAACATAATTTTTGAGATATAATGAGTTTAGAAGAAATCACCCATCCAGTTACTGGATCATCTCAAGTCCAAGCGTTCTTATCTGTTATATAATCAGATACTTTATAATAAGCTTTTTTAATAGTAGATTTAAACTGCAAGATATCTAATTGTTGTATTTTGCTTGGGACATTATTGTAGAAGCATTATATAATACTTAATTAAAGTTAAAAGAAAGGGCGAGCTTCACAATTTTTTCATACAATATAGGCTACGATGAGACCGGATATACTTTAAAATACGTAATTGTAATAAAAATTCGTGCACTATAAAAATATAGTAATATAAAAGCCGGTGTTACATAGCCTCGAGGGGGACTAGATAAAGGACGCCAATTGGAATCATGCCTGAGTTTAAATAAAATAATTTCTATTTAGTTCGCCATTCAGGTAATAGAAAAATATATGACACGTATTTTTTTTTTACTTCAATTTAACAAGAATTAACTTAGATAGCAGGCATTAAAGTTGAGGAGTGGGGGCTCGCTACGTCATAGTTTTGTAGAAAATGTACTAAAGCGTGACGTCACGTGAATTTTAACTCGACGTATCGCGCTATATAATGATTACGAAAGAAATTTAAAATAAGTTTTTAATATTTTTCAACAATCTGCATGAGAGACAAACAAATAGAAATGAGTTGTCGTCCCTTTAACGTCCATGTATAAATTGTATCGAGTCAATAAAATGAAACTAAGTATGAATTAATTAAGTATTGAAAATATTATGGATTTAACAAGAATATGATGAGTTACCTAATAAATATACGAAATGTCAACTGTAAATTTTATTATTTTTTTAGTATTTTGATTTGTGAAATTTAGCATCCTTTTATTTATTGTAAAATGAGGTATTTAAGATAATAAAAATCTGATATTTTTATTGAATTTGTATTTTTTCCTTTAACTTATTACTTAAGCATCTATTTCTCAGTTATTTTTTGTTTGAATGAGGAAGTATTAAAAAAAAGCATTAGTTCCCGAAATCGAACTAGATGTCGCTACGATATTTACTTGATTTCTCCGAAAACCCTTTCGGTTTTCTTTATGTATAAAAGTAAGTTAATTTTCAATATTGAGTTTTGAAATTAAACAACTCATATACTATTGTATTTTGTAGTATTTGTATTGATATCTAAGTTTCGAACTTTGCAAATTTCAGTTTTTTAATATGTTATAGTTAAAACAAACGGAAATGACTGGTTTATTCATTTCCTGCAAAAATCAACTTTTGCTAGGGTCGCTATCTAGTGAGGTGGTTTTTAGTGATTTTTTTTTTTAATATTACCTCATTTCGAAAACATCTAATTAATGATATCGTTCATTTGATTTTTCCAAAAAACATAGCTATTGCAATCACTATAGCGCTTCAATTAGTTGTAGCGTATAGTTCGTAATTATTCTAGGCCTGATTTGGTTAGTTCTACATCATATTTTTATGAGTCGTTTATGAGGGTTAGAAATCATAACTGCGGGGAAAAAAACCTTAGCTACCCAACTTATATTCCTCCTCTATGGCCTTAGCTATAGATGGAATCGAGTTGAATCGAATAGGAAGAATGGACGTGGGTCCGGTGCCGTGTCGTGAGTGTTACTGTTAACGAATGCAGATGCTACCGGGACCAACGTCTTTTCAACGAGATTTTGATCACCCATCCTATAACCAGTTCTTTCAAAAGTTCCTTAACAACCGTATCGCAGGCTGAATACGCTAGCTACTGCTACTAAGGTTGTTGACTAGAGTACAGGTGAATTTACTTCTTCAATGATAGGCTTCGCATATAGGTACTTAAAAGAAACGCATTTATAATAATATTATGATTTATTGTCACCACAAATAACATTGTAAAAGGATATATAATAAGATTATCCTATTACGAGTCATTTGTAGGAGACTTGCTGCCTGTTAAACGAATAACCGTTTATTTTTGGGGTACATCTGTTTAATAATCTTTGTCGTCCGCTCTGTGGCGACGTAATCTGTGACATTTGTAATATAAACAATAATGCATTTGTAAGTCATCTCATCATTCAACTTCAAGACAGATAGTCTAAAAGTAAATTCATACCTGTGAACAAACCCTTCGTATAAATAGTCAGATAGTCCACTTTTTGTTTTATAAAAGTTTATTTTCGGATGCCCTAGAATCGGCTACCTTGTATTATAGTATATAATGTAACGATATTCTATAAGCATCGATACGTAAAATCATTCGATTTATTAAAATATAAATATTGATGGATCGAATAGTTTTCACTACACTAGTTTTTTAAAAAGTTTCTTTCGTTTTGGGTTTTGACGTTTTCTTTGTTTACAAAAAAAGTGCACCAAATTCACAAATTTCATAATTTGCTACTTATTTTGGATTGCTATTTTTGTTAACATACGAGATTTATTACTGCGGTATGCATGCATGTTTAAAAACAATTGTATGATGCTTTACTATCATTTAAGACTGGTTTCATAATTAAATTTTATTTAATGCTCTAGTTGTTGTGTAAAATTCATGTTACTTTTTTTAGGTAGATAATGTCAGATCGTGCTTCACGCCCTCATTTAATGGACCAACAAGTGATATCTTATTCTGATGTAAGTATCCTGGACTTCACAATTATAACCTCTCAAATTTTATTACAGTTGCTCCGTTATCACTGATTTTTTTGTGTTTGCGAATGCCTTACCCCCATCGCGTGACTGAGAATGTAACATAAACCAGAAATATTTTTGGAGTTTAATATGAATTGATGGGTTTTAATGCAGTCAAGTTTTTTTTTTAATATGGCTTTGTTCCTTTATACATGGAAATTTTGCCAACATCCAGTAGTTAGAGAGACACGAGACTCGAGAGACTGAACAGTAGTTATAATCAACAGCTTAGCTTTTACATATATTTTACTTGTATGAGTTTACAAACGTCGTCGCAGATGGATTGAGTTAAATATGTCTCCATTGCTTTACACATCCATGGTTGCATTATAAACTATATATAAAACCCAAATCAAAATTAGTTATTTATGTTTGCCCCACCAAACTTTAAGGCAAAGGAATTAAGTTCATATAACACTTCTCTTTCTCTCTATCTCTCTCTCTCTGCCCTCTCTCTCAGCTTAAATTTACTCCAATCCTGGATATATGCCTCTCGGTAACTCTTCCATCTTGCTCTGTTTACTGCAATTCTGTGCCAGGTCAACCCTGCCAACTTATTTATATCAATCATCTAGCCGGTGGTCTGCCTACACTTTGTCTTCCTGTTCCAGAACTTCAGTGTAAAGACTTTTATATTTATTGTCATCTTTGTGACTCATATGTTCTGCCCATTAAGTCTGTCCTTTCTCCTATATTATTTACTTTGGTGCGTTGCTGGATAATGTCGTGTGACACCTGCAGATTAATAATTTGTTGAAATTGATTATTATAATTTAATGTTGAGAGAATTAGTACCACTATTTCATTTTACTAATTATATTCTTTTAGAAAAGCACACAAATAAAGGATGTTGACTTTATAACTGATAAAGACCAAGAAGTAGGCTGCAGTATATGTTTTAAAGCATTTATGGGGACAGCGGCGCTCAACAACCATGCAAAGATTGAACACTATGATGTGTTTGAAAACGGTGACTCTGATTCGTGGACATGTAGCATCAGTGAGATTAATGTAAGTTTGGAAGAAAAAATTTTTCTAGCTATTAACTTCTGTCCTTTTACGTAGTAATGACAACTTTTATAAATAAATATATATTAGACAACGTAACATACATTGCTCAGATTCCAAGACGAGTAGATAATGGCCCTGTATTATGGAGTATCTAAGTTATCAAAGGTAACACAACATTTATACGATACAGAAACTTTGTTTTCTGACATAGACCTGACGGTATTTGACCTCAGATATGGCGACACCTTGGAACCGGCTTGTGATCAATCTGGCTAAAGAGGTCATTTTATTAAAAAGAACAGAATCTGTCTGATTTCAAATGGAGATAAATAATGTATACAGAATTATAAAAAAGGGTATCAAGTGTTAGTTTTTTGGTTTCTATAATAAGTATGTATCGTATCATGTATGTGTATGCTGGATCTATTGTGTTATAGATTAAAACATATGATATGTTCACAGTCCGCTGCAGAAACATCCATTACATTTTAATGACAAGCTCTAATGAATGTCAAGTTTGTATCAGTAATGTTGCTTTTTTAATGGATATTTGTACAGTTGGCTGGCACAATTGGTGTATTAAATAGAATACTTAATTGAAATCATATGAGCTTTTTAGGTTACAATTAACATTATTGATTATACTGATATATAACAGTCTACATGATATAGAGTACAGTATGCAACATTAGAGGCAAGGGGCCCATGTTTCCCCATCACGGATATGCCCATGATACTGATAATAATGTTCTAAATTGTTACAGAGGATTCGTAAAGGAACAAGGGATAGAGGTCCTAGAGATAAGATATTAGATGATAAAGAAGCAACGTATTTCTCAAAGGAAGAAGTAATATCAGCTATGTCCCCTGGTAAATTAACAGCTTTAGTACCAGAGAATGTCCAATATATCATAATGAAGGACGTAGACGATGATCATTTTGTTAATATGAAGAGGAAAAGGAGGATATTGGAGTTTTCACCAAACAAGTATGTAACACTAATTGTTTTATAGATTCTGCAAGTTAATAATCTAATTTTTACAATATATCACAAACCCTTCCAATTATACATATGAAAGATAGTCACGGACTTCACATTACTTATTTGATATCTGTGATGTGATAAACGACCATTGAAATGTATAGCGAGCGATATTTTATCTTAAGATCATATTATAGCATCTTAACCATCTGTTACAACATTCAGACATTATTTTTAGGTTTTATTTGTAGGAATCCCATTACTAATACTTTGCTGTCGGTCTGTCTGTTGCATCTCATGAACTATGATAGTTGAAGAGTTGAAATTATCAACAACAAATATTAAAAACCAGGATAAAATAAATTTTTAAGGGGGCTCCCGTACAACAAACGTGATTTTTTGCTAATTTTTGGTTGATAATGACAACAGGTAGACGCCTTTAAAAATAAATAATTAAATTAAATAAATATTTAGGGGGGGGCTCTCAAACAACAAATTGTGATTGCAGGTTTCTACTATTGAACCCTTTGTGCGCTAGTCAGACTCGCCCTTGGTCGGTTTTGTAATCAGTTTTTATATTATTCTATAGGTCTTCATCTGTTGATGATCCCGATGAAGATGGTCTAGAAAAAAACAATGATGAAATTGCCCATTGTGATGAGGTATTATAATGTTATCTTATACTAGTTGCCCGCAGCGACTTCGTCCGCGTTTTCCATTATTTCTTCGCTCCTAATAGTTGCAGCATGATGTTATATAGCCTAAAGCCTTCCTCGATAAATGGTCTATTCAACACAAAAAGAATTTTTCAATTCGTACCAGTAGTTCCTGAGATTAGCGCGTTCAAACAAACAAACTCTTCAGCTTTATAATATTAGTACAGATTTTTTCAAGCTTCCATTTAGTTTCACCTATCCCGATGTCTGTAAACAAATCTTGTAAGTTAAATTTCAATCACTTCCCAGTGTCCGTTTGAGATTAAATTTGAAATATATCTTTTTTTGACGTGGATACGTCTATGTTTTCGTTCTACAGGGGGGTCATTCTGTGAGCAGGAGTATATGCACTAACGCCATCTATTGGCGTATAAGTGAACTATGCTTGCTCTGCAGGGGGAGGGGCATTCTGACAGCAGGAGTAAATGCACTAACGCCATCTGTTGGCGCTAGTGAATACTTTTTCATTTAGCAAATGAACGCAACGAATATTTATTTATTTAGTGTCTTCAACTTGTTTTTTTTAATATTCATTTATAAATGCAATTATGCCACAACGTTGCATAATTCCGGGTTGTTTTTTATCAATTACATACGATTACATCAATATTACATTATCAATTACTCATATATCCATTCATACATAGACGTATCCACGCATAAAATATGGCTGTATCAATGATGCAGCCATATTTTTTGTATATGATATATACTAATATTATAAAGAGGAAAGATATGATTGTTTTTGTTTGTTTGTTTGCAATCAATAGGTTCAAAACTAATAGACTGATTTAAAAAAGAAATCACCTATGGGAAGCAACATCATATGCGTTGGACATAGGCTAATTTTTACAGCAATAAAAGGGTGGAAATGAGTGTGGAAGTTTGTATAGGGAATTAAAAAGTTACCATAGCATTGTTTACTACACAGTTTTCAATTGTAATTATATCCCATGTCAGGATATGAATCGATATCCAAATAAATGGTCCTCTAAGGCCCCACGCGGGCGAAGCCGCCGGCGGAAAGCTATCTGTATTTTTATTAATAGGGATGACGACTGGGTAAAAAAATGCAATTCTATTTAGTCCGTCGGTCAGATAATAGAAAAATATTAGATACGTATTTTTTTTTTACTTCAATTTAACAAGAAATAGCTTAGATAACAGGCGTTAAAGTTGAGGAGTGGGGGCTCGCTACGTCACAGTTGAGTACAAAACGTACCATAACGTGACGTCATGCGTAATTTCAACTGAATGTAACGCCGTAATTTTATGATTACGAAAAAAATAAAAAAATACGTGTTTAATATTTTTTAACACTATCTGACGGACAAACAAACAAAAATTAGTCGTCATCCCTATTCAAAATGGCCAGTGGCGGGAAGGTTTCTGTATTTTTATCAATTCAAAATGGCTGCTGTAATTTTTTTTTGTCTATTAATATTCTTTCGCAGTGTGGTAGTGTTTTCTCTAATCGTTATACACTGAAGAATCACAAGAAAGCAAAACATTTTCTAGACGAGGAGAGAATAAATCTAATGTGTGAAATATGTGGAAAGATATGTGCGGTAAGTTGTTACATTAATATACATGTTGTTTTTAATGAGGAAGTATATAAAAAAAACGAAATCACTAAAAAAGCACCTCCACTAGATGGCGACTCTAGCAAAAGTTGATTTTTGCAGGAAACGAATGGACCAAAGACAGTCATTGCCGTTCCTTTTATCTAACATATTAAAAGACTGAAATTTGCAAATTTCGAAACTTAGATATCAATACAAATACGAAAAAGTACAAATAGAATATGAGTTGTTTATTGAGTTTTGAAAACTAATTCACTTTTATACATGAAAGAAAATCGGTAGTGTTGTCATGGAGAATCCATGGGAGAGCTTCGCTTCGGCATGAATAGAAACATTAATGTTTTCAAAAATAACCTAATAAAATATCTATCACAAAAATGCGAAGTAAAAACGGGAAGTAATTCCATACATTCATTTTCACCCCTTTAAAGTTTAATTAATAATTTTTTAATTATATATAAACAGTGCATTTTTTATTTTTTTAATATAATTATATAACAGTTTATTAGTAATGTCAATTTGGATGCAAAAAAACTTTTTAATTTTCTTATTATTTTATTGTTATGCATGATACATAATTTATATTATATTTAATTTGATTTTATGATAATTATAGTTTAATTTGACTATTGTTGCAGTGCCCTTATCAGGGTTCATGTCAAGGTACATAAAAAAAATCAGCATCTGTTTCACTATATGAAAGCAATAAATGAGTTTGAGTTTGGGCCGGCTCGACCGGAGTGATACCACGGCCTCACAGAAAACCGACGTGAAGCAACGCTTGCGTTGTGTTTCGTCGTGTGAGTGAGGGTACCGGAGGCCCAACCCCTCCCTATTCCCTTCCCTCTACCCCTCAAAGGCCGGCAGCGCGCTTGTAGCCCCTCTGGTGTTGCAGGTGTCCATGGGCGACGGTAATCACTTACCATCAGGTGATCCGTCTGATCATCTGCCCCCTATCACATAAAAAAAAGAAAAAAATCAAGAAAGTACCGTAGCGACATCTAGTTTGATTTCGGGAACTAATTTTTTTTTTAAATACTTCCTCATTAGTCAAATACCTTAGACTTACTGATAGATATTGTTAATATTTTAAGTTCATTTTACTGTGGTAAAATTGGTAAGATGCATCTGTGCGAGCGCAATAGAGATATGGTGAGGCTTGTACTTTGGACTAGTGAATTTAAACACGGTATGCAACTTTAAATTGGTGTATATATATTGCTTCATATATCTTCGATATTATTTTAAAAATAAGGTAACGTGTTTGCTCGGCGGGGACTTGAATCTTAATGGTTTATAGCAGACCCCTCTAGTGGCCGACGACGTAAACCGTAGGGTAAAAGTACGTGATGTCGTCACTGTCACCGGCGCGGCCGCACCACAATATTGTGCGTTAAGACATATGTTTGAACGCGAGTGAAAATGATATGTAGTGCCGGGTCATTATACGACATAGGGATGACGAATATTTTTTGTTTGTTTGTCCGTCAGGTAGATGGTTGATTTTTTTTGTAATCAATTAATTAAAAAAAGAATTGAGTAGCTCGGTGGCGTAGTGGATAAGCGCCGCGGCCCGCGATCGTTGTCGTTAAGCAACTTTCGCATTGGTCGGTTACGGGATGGGTGACCGAAAATTATTATCTCGAGCTACTCCGTGCTTCGGAAGGCACGTTAAGCCGTCGGTCCCGGCTGCATTTGCAGTCGTTAATACCCTCCAATCCGCATTGGGCTAGCGTGGAGGGTCATGGCCCGTCCTCCTTAACCATCCATAAGGAAGGCCTGAGCCTCTGTAGTAGGGAGGGACGTAAAAGAGCTGATTATGATGATGAATCATTAAATTACGGCGTTACATTGAGTTGAAATTTCGCATGACGTCACGTTAGGGTACGTTTTCTACTCAACTGTGACGCAGCGAGCCCCCACTCCTCAACTTTAATGCCTGTTATCTAAGCTATTTCTTGTTAAATTGAAGTAAACAAAAAAAAAGTATCTAATATTTTTCTATTACCTTGTATCTTAAATAAATATCTTTTTCACCCCCGTGTCATCCCTATTGTATCTGTTCGGCGATCGGTCTATAGAATATATTTAAAATGTTTTATTAAATGTTATTAATTAATAAAAGACAACATCATATAAATCGCTCAGATTCCAAGATAAAGCCCCCGTATTATGGAGTATCTGAGACAACGAAGGTACCACAACACCCAGACCCGAGACATTAAAGAAAAGTCCTATGGATGGAATCGAATAGAGAGAATGGGCCACGACCCCCCACGCGGGCCCAATGCGGTTTGGTAGGTATTAACATGCCTCCCGAAGTACAGAGGAATTCGAGATAATAACTTTTCGACCACCCATCCTATACCGGACCATTGTGAAAGTTGCTTAACAACCGTATCGAAGACCGAGCTCTCTAGAATTTTTTGCGTACTGATAATAAATTCCTGTGTATTTAAATTAAAAAAAATTTTTTTTTTTTTTTCTTTTAGTGTGTGACTGCCCTCAAACAGCATCAGTTATATCATAGTTGTAAGAAACAATACCCGTGTACTGAATGCAACAAATCGTTCACGTCATTACACCAGTTGAAGAGACACTTGATCAGCCACGAGACCAAAAGGCACCAGTGTAACGTTTGTGGAAAACTATATGCGGAGAAGAAACAACTGGATATACATTCTATGGTGAGTGTTCCAGGGGGGCTTATTCTCTAATATAGAAATCCTGAGGGGTCTATTAAATAGCTGCAAATTTCCTTGATCGGCGAAATACAGGTTGGAGACCCCGTTTAGAAATTAGTAAAGCTTATACGCAGGGAGTGGGGGGGGGGGGGCTTGGCGATCTTGGCCTCTAATGAGGTTAGTTCGTACTCTTCCCTCTCTTATTAAAAACGAACTCAAAAATTATATTTTCTCTGTTACATTTGACATTATAAAAAGTGAGTACATATCATTATTTAAAAACAGAGGAATAAATCGCTAGGAAACAAAGAGGTTTGTTGATATGGGGCCATCCATAAATTACGTCACACGTTAGGAGGGGGGGGGGGGGGTCGACGAACTGTGACTTTAGAACAATATTTAGTAGAATTTGTATAGACAAACATGTGACAGAAGGGGGGGGGGGGGGGGTTAAAAATCATTAATTTTGTGTGACGTAATTTATGGATGGCCCCTATTATTAAGATTAGATTAATTAATAGTAGCTCAGTGGCGTAATGGATAAGAGCCGCTACCTTCGATTGTTGTATTTAAACAACTTTTGCAAGGGTAGTGTTTGGTGTGAAAAGAATAAAAAAAAAATGATTATATTTCTTAGTACCTAGCTGGTAAAGTAAATTTTAATGGACTGTATATTTAAATTAATTTTTGGTGTGCCAAAAAATGCAAAGGAAAAACAACTGATCTATTATGACGGCTGTTAGGTAAGAATAAGCTGCCTTTAAGATATTAAAAAGGGGAAAAAATACAAAGACAACTGGAAAACTGGATGGAAATATGCACTCACTCTGGTTGTTGTTTGATACTGCAAACTCATCCACCAGTTCAACGGCGGCCGAAGTCCTAAAAGCACGTGCTCAGCCAATTGTCTTCAACACTGTTAATCTTCACTAAGTAGCACACTCTTGTAAACAACACATTCTTAATAACTTAGGCTTCATAAGAACATAACACTCACGACGAATAAAGTATTAAAAAAAAAACACTTGACATAGCGCAAGCGATGCGCTCCGAGAGTTCAATTATTATTTATTTATTCAACAAAGTTTCAACAGCAGTTTTGTTATTTCTATACAAAAATAAGTATGCAGCATTGACGCCAATTATAGAAACTTATTATGTTTACAAATCTTATTAATTAGATTTTCATAATGGGAGCAGTTAACAAAGAAAATGCAAGTATTAGACAAAAATATACATATTTATAAATTATATCGCATGCCAAATATGGTATATGTATGTATGTGTGTGTGCGTGTGTGTGTGTGTTTGTGTGTATGTTTATATGTTTAAATAAAGTATGCGTATCAAGAACTTCAATTCATAATTTCATAATTACGTAATTAACTCTAAAGACGGGGCCGAGTTGAACGCACGGCGACCGCGCGTCGAGTGGGTAAGGCAGGCAAAGATACCTACGGTACAGTGGCACATTCTACTGTCGGGCTTACATGGCGCGAGTAACAACAACTCAAACAGGCAATACAATAATACTAATTATAAAAAACTATAAACAATAACAATAATAGAACTAATTATCATTTCAATTCATGACGATCCACACTGACAGATCTGACCAAAGCGGCCCTAAATGCATTTCTGGACATAGAGAAAAGGTCAATTCCGGAAAAGCATTTATTGTAAGTTTTAGGTAATCTGACTGTCACGTCTATTAGACTAGACGTGCATATTATGATAAGGAAGTGGGTAGGAAACGTAAAACAGTTGTCATAAATTTATAAAATTATTAAAGCACACCTTAAATAAATAAATAAACACCTTCATAGCAACAATAACCGATTGTATTACAATCGGCCCGCTTTTTTGATTTATGTTTAATTATACGTTAAGTAATAAGATATTTTGTTATTGTGTATGTGCCACACACAGACATGTTTAATAAATGTTTGTATTCGCTGATGGTGCAAAACCAATGTCGGACTGGCGTGTTACTCTAATCCTATTGGTGGTCACTTGTCTTCTTGTGAGCCAGTCTCAGTTTCGCAGCGAAGGAGTGAGCAACTACCGCGATCTGCTTAATAGTTATTTAAGATACGAGTGCGGAAAGTAAGGTTTTACGAATAAGGGGGCGTCCATAAATTACGTGAGGTGTTTTTTCAAATTTTCTGACCCTCCCTCCCCCCCTGGTGAGATGTCGTGAGATTTTATTCAATCCCCTCCCCCATCCCCAAATCTCACGTGAGATTTTTCAAAATGTGGGTTTCTTATTTAAACACGTTGGATTTTTTTAATAAAAAGAAAAAATAATAATTCGCTTCGTACTTTTATTTACGACTAGTTAGAGACTAGTAATCAATATTGCTCTCATTCATCGAGTCACACGTTCAGCTGACAGTGGCGCGAAAACAAAGGACGGGCTACATTGTACCGTAAATTCAAATTAAATTGAGCTATTTGGTATAAAACGAGTACCTATAGTGGTTTGACAATCAGGTGTGATGTATAATGTCAAAGTACGAATGAAATTATTTTCTTTCCAACGAATTAGTGAATGATCTTAATCTTAGACTTGTCTCTCTATTAGGGGATTCCCCGCACCGAGCCTTATTTTAAAAATTGCGTGATATTTGCCGAGACCCCCCCCTCTCTCCAACGTGAGATTAGATGAGATTTGACTCGACTCCCTCCCCCCCTTAAACATCTCACGTAATTTATGGACGCCCCCTAAGGGCCAAATTGGCATTGGCACGAATTCGAAAACCTTTTACGCTCAAGTTTATTACAACATTTTTCAATGCTTTTTGCGAGGAAATAAAACAAATATATAGGTTAATAAAACTAAGTATGTATTAAAGGTAAAAATTATTTGTTAAAATTAAACGTCATATTTGAACATGTTTTCGTGTCATACATTTTTATTTGAAAATTTTCGTTCTAGTCTCCTTGAAATACTTTTGCCTCTAAAGTTTGATATATTTTCATCAATTTTATTTAAATTTCTTTGGTACTCGGCCAAAAAATTTTAAAAAATACTTTCAAGCACGTGTGCAGTAAAGGATTTCAGTACATTTTTATTTAACACGTGTTTAAAGACTCACTTTCGGTGTTTACAATGGATTAAAAAAATAGCGCTTTGTGAGCAACTGCATCAAAAAAATACTTACGACGCGAACGCAATTTGCACAATAGTCGGAACATTTGTTTTACCAATAGGTGACCAAAAAAAGTTTACTTCGTCACCGGCGATATTGATGAAATTATTTATCCTGTTAATTTCTTTGTACCAGGTACACACATTGCCTAGACCATTTCAGTGTCAGCTGTGCCCTCACAACTTTACTCAAGACAGCTCGTTGAAAATACATATGAACGCGGTAAGTTGTTTACTAGTGTTGTGCGTTAGGTACAGTATTGTTATCGATAATCGATATTCGATTTAACTAACGCTAGCGAAATGAGATGAGACCGTTATCAAAATTTTCAGAGATTCAATTCCATTCATGTAATTGGCTGCTTGATACTTATAAAAAATGATAACTTATATGTCAAGAATATCTATGTAATATTTTATTTATTAAAATTAATTATTAGT